GAGTGATAGTAATAAGGTGAAATTGTCCCTGTGCTTACTTAATTAAGCATTATGCCATGAGGACATTTAGAGGAGTGGAGGTATAACTCCACCATTTTTGACCTCGGCAATGTCAGTGGATAGGTTATATGATATATATAGTAAGGACAGTCTACACAACGATATTTCTGAAAGAACAACAAAATAGGCACTAATGGGTCAATATTTCGTTTTTATATATTGTTCACGTTGCATGTTTCGACCCAAATTTTGGATCATCATCAGGCAAAAAACTAGTAAGAACATAATATGGATCCATATTGTAATTAAGACACAATTCAGTTAACTGATCCTAGTATTCATCATGCGCCTGATGATGACCCAAAATAGAGGTCGAAGCATGTAGCATGGACAACAAATAAAAACAAAATGTTGATGCATTAGTGTCTATTTTGTTGTTCTTTCAGAAATATTGTTGTGTAGACTGTCCTTACTGTATATATCATATGTCCCATATATGACACAGAACAGGATGCATTTTTTTATTGCTAGTGGGGTTGGGACCAAGTCCCTTGTACTGCGGCCACTTCTGACCTATTGTACCAGCCGATGATAGGTGAGGGTGATTGTGGAACAATTGGTGGAATGAAGATTGACAGGGGAAACCGATGTACTCGGAGAAAACCTACCCCAGCGCCACTTTGTCCACCACAAATCTCAATTGACCAGCCCTGGGATCGAACCCGGGCCGCCGCAGTGGGGAGCCAGCGACTAACCGCTTGAGCTATGGCGCGGCCCTAACAGGATGCATACTATGAAGATAATATGTCAGTGGCCCGAACTATCTTCTGATGTTGCTAAGATACGGAGGAAATCCCGAAATATCTTCTGATGTTGCTAGGATACGGAGGTAAATCCGAAACATATTATGTTGTTGCTGAGATATGGGAGAGAACATAGATTGTATTCTGTTCTTACTATGACACAAGGTGAAGGACAAGTATATTCTGCCATTGGTAATTTTTTTCTATTCCTCCCCATAAGTGTGCATTATGCACAGACAGCTCCAGGCAGATTTCCTAGTTAGAATGAAAGAAAGGTTATATGGAATTAAAAGCAGCACAGTAGCAAAGGGTTAACATTGGAGTTGGAGCAGTTCTTGTGTGTGAGTATGAGTTTCCGGTAGAATGGACTTTCTGTGATGAGCTCTGTGATTGGGAGACAGAGTTCGCCAGAGCGGAACCGTGGCGCAGTGGAGCGGCTGCTTGTGTAACGCGATTACTTGTAACTCAGGCTGAAAATCATGCAAACGCCATCACACACTGGTACACGCACGCACACACAGGAGACGGCTATTAGAATTCGCTAGCTCTGAGGTCTCAACCGCGACATGGTTCCATCGGCGCTTCGTATTCTGTAAGAATGTAGCGATACAACCTGTGGCATTGATGTGTAAATTTGGGGACACCTAGAAAATGATCACGGATTTTTAAGTGAATCTTGGGCTACTATGAGAAATTCATCAGCCAAGAAATTTAGAATGGTACCGGGGGAAGAGTTGCCTGCCATTCTAATACAGCTGAATTATGCTCTTTTCTTTCTCATACAAATCTATATATATATATATATATTTTCTTTCTTTCATGATGTGCTCCTATAGCACCTTTACGGTGTCGAGGTAAGTTAATTTTATTTATTCTTGGTCTAAGACAGTCGGTAGAACTCCTTGGATGGGGGATCGACCCGTCGCAAGGCCGCTACCTAACATAAACAGAATAAACGTAAACAAATATCAATGCCTTGAGTTGGATTCGAACCGACGATCCCGGCTTCCGAGCGAGCGAAGACAGTGCATGCCTTAGACCGCTCGGCTACCGTGACCGGCAGTGTATAAGAATAATATATAAGAATTCAGTCCGTACCTCACAGGAAACAGATCCGAACCCACGATCCCGGCTTCCGAGCGAGCGAAGACAGTGCATGCCTTAGACCGCTCGGATACCGTGACCGGCCTGTATATACTTACTTACTTATGGAACTGAGCCCTTCTTGAGAAGCCGCCAATTCTGCGGATACTCAAGAATTTCCAAGCATTTTGTAGAACCCGAAGATTCATTACCGTGTTCAAAAGAGCCCTCCACTAGCCCCTATCCTGAGCCAGATCAATCCAATCCATACCACCCCATCCTATCTCTCTAAGATCCATTTTAATATTGTCCACCCACCTACTCCTTCGTCTTCACAGTGGTCTCTTTCTTTCTGGCTTTCCCACCAATTTCCTACATGCATTCCTCCTCTCCCCCTTTCATGCTACATGCCCTGTCCATCTCATCCTCCTTGACTTGATCATTCTAATTATACTTGGAGAAGAGTACAAGTTATGAAGCTCATTGTGCAGTTTTCTCCAACCTCCTGTCACTTCATCTCTCTTTGGTCCAAATATTCTCCTCAACACCCTCAGTCTATGTTAGTTACTAACGTACACCGTTGGCCGCGCCATAGCTCAAGCGGTTAGTTGCTGGCTTCCCACCGCGGCGCACCGTGTTCAATTGCGCGTCTGGTCAAAGGGGATTTGTGGTGGACAAAGTGGCACTGGGGCGGGTTTTCTCCGAGGACTTCTTTTTCCCATGCCAATCTTCATTCCTCCAAATTCTGTGTCATCATAATCACCCAGGGCAGGCTACAATAGGCCAATCACTGGGCGCCGTGCCGAGTGGACCCAGTTGGACTCAACCCCCCCCCCACTAAGCGAATTAAAAATTAATTAAATTAATGTGCACCGTTTAATTACCAGCATTAAGTAATATTGTCTACTTTAAAGCAATCATCCCTTGCCTTCTCCATATTTAAAATAAACAGCTATTTTTAATTTGCGGAGAGCTGCACTACCATCAATACATTGACCCAAACTGAAGGATTTACCCATTAATTAGACTAATAAATTATTATTGTAGGCCGCTCCCCACAATTATAAATTTTCATTGGAGCGACAAAAACGAATATCGGATATAATTGACAACAAAACATTTCCAAATGAATCTACCTCTGGGACAGGGAATGATGTTGGGTTTATGAGCTAAACATTCACGTTTTTAATTTAGAGAGAAATAGAAAAACAATAAATGGGCTTTACAGTCCATAACATAAATCTAACAGCATTACGAAAAACGATTTTTTTTTCTTGACAGAGCCGGGGTAGCGTATTCGGTATGGCCACTGGCTTCGGGTTGGACGACTGAGAGGTCGGAGTTCGAACTCCGGTAGGATCAAAAATATTATCTTCTCCAAGTCTTCCAGACTGGCCCTGGGGTTCACCCAACCTCCTATCTAAAGGGTACAAGGGGCTCTTTCCATGAGGGTAAAGCGGCCCGGTCGTTAAGCTGAGCAGTCACCTCCAGCTACGGCCAGGTCAAGGAAGTTTGGATCTATACATCCACTCCCCCATACGCCTTCATGGCGTGGTGCTTAGTTAGTTAAGCACGGGAACAACTTTACCTTACTCGTCTGTGGCAGCTGTTGTGTCCCGCAAGACCAATTAATGCAACGCTTCCTAGGAATTTTAGAAACATTTCCTTTCTGAAAGTAAGCGTCAACTACAGTTGCTTTTACTAAACAATCAAAATTTATTTTTGCACTAAGAGAAAACACTAATAATACAATTGTGTGTATTTTTACCATAAAAAGTTATAAGTGCATTAAAATCCGTTTTGGAAAAATTTATAAATGAGAAGCTGCTTGGAGTTTAAGTAACTGTGATATAAAACAAGAAGTTCTGGGAAGAACTAATCACCTACTTTCCATTTATATGACATGGACCGTATATAAAAAGACGCGTACAACTTTTCTTCTAACGTTGTTTGTGTATTCGTTGACGTGGGAACTTTTTAGCCCGCCGTTGCCTAGTAAAAATAAGGGGATACACATATAAACATACTGATGGGAGGGATTTATGAAGTAAGCCGTTCAGATAGGTTTAGGTACAATGATATACATACCAAGTTTCATAAAGTTTTGTTTAGCTGTTCAAAAATAGATTGGCTGGGGCTGGCTACACAGAGAACATGCTTATGACGTAAGCTTACATTAATTTTTTTTAAATAAGGAGAATAGGCAAAAAATTTCAAAAACATCGATTTTTTTAAATTTTCTAATTCGGGTATACGGCGTAGTGTCATATCACAACGTAACGTAACGTAACGTGACCCAAACTGACCAAGCTCTGACCTAAGGAGCAGGCGGATTCACAGTTTTCCTATGCGCCCCCTAACCTAAGCAGTCCTAACTTGAATGACCAAGAACAGAGGGAAAATGGAAGACAGGAAGGTAATAATAAATACATTTCAGAATGAAGGGAACTTGAAGTTGGGGCACGCGGTTGCTTAGCTGGTTGAGGCACTATTCTACGAGCCGGAAGGTCGCGGGTTCGAATCCCGATGATGTTGATTGTTTTTTTCATTTGACCTAATCCCTCCATCCGCTCTATGACCCTGGGGTCGACTCAGCCTCTAACAGAAATGAGTACCAGGAATCTTCCTGGGTGTAAAGGGCGGTCGGCGCGAAAGGCTGACAAACTTACCACCATCTGTGAGCCGAATGTCTAGAAAATGTGGGCGCCTCGACGTCTCACAGCCCTATGGGCCTCCACGATCTATTAAAGGGATACCTTTACTTTTACCTTTACCTTTTTGGGAACGTGTAGTTTATTTTGTTAAATTCATGGTGATGTGGAGATACTATGAGAATAAATATCTCATTTTTACAGTCCCTATTTTAGAATGTTTGATTAAATACGTAGCCGGGATTGAAGTATAATTACTAGCCCTAATTAACAGAACTAGAAATGACTGTTCGGTCCTTTTTTTTTGTGTTGAAATTTCGAAGTCATAACAGTCCAATTCCACGTTACCTTCTGTTCCTGTCTCGAAATACAATAATCATATGCGTGTGAGAGAAGACAGTTATACATATGTTAACTTGGTCCTTCTCAGGCACATTATAACTGTCTGGTTTAACTTTTACAGACTGGCCCATGTATCGGAGTCATCAGGCAATTTGGAGAACAAATGGTAAGTGTTGCATGCATAACCGTGTTTCATGCCATCATTAACAACAAAATAATCCAGAAAATGCATTAGAAAAACACGAAGGATTTAGTCATCGCGTGTTATTACTCTAAATTCATAAACATTTTTCTTTTTTAATTAATAATTGCTAAGCGATTACGTGGAAATATTACTTTAAAAGAACAATTAAAAAATTGTAGGTGCAATAATCAAACCCTGTCCCGTCATTATTCGAAATAATAGGTTACAAGCATTAGAGATAATTTATTATCTAATGAGGAAAACTAAGAAGAGAAATGCTAAGGTTATTTAGCGAAGTTCTGGGGGCTCGAATCCAGACCACCGCGTTAGTATATATGTAACAGTGAACTGTAAATTGCGGAAATAGCGATAGGATTATAATTGTTTGTAGTACGACTTGTAAGCGGTCCCGAGTCATTAATCCAAACCCCTTCTATAGTCACACATATACGTGACAATGTTGTCATAAACTGCTTACGCCCCCCGAAATCGGTCTGCCTTAAACATATAATATGGTACCATTCGTGAAGGAAAGTTGTTCAGTCAAAGAATGTCGTATTACTGTCAGTGTTTTTTGAAAGGTTATTCTATTCTTTGCACCGTGAAGTGGATGAACTTTAACCTTTCTCTTGCCCTTTGCAGGATGTTCAACATGCGAATGTTTCCGCTTCGTGTGGCTTATGAGATACGGGGTCTGACAATTAAATAACTGGCGAGATGTGTTTGAGGTTTTCACGACTCTGATTTCAGATTGTAATCTATCTGAGTTGTGACACTTTTCAGTTATGTTGATGGGTACCAACGCTTCAAGACGGAGGTACAGAATCAGCATATGTCTTTCAAATGTTGCTACCCACCTACAAGACTAAACAGTGTCATAACCCAGAGAACCACTTGCTAAACGGACGGACGCTTCTGTGTAGCGACTTGGTTCTATTTGCCAATATGCAAATATTTAATGAAACATGGACTGAGGGTGTTTGAGAACAGGGTGCTGAGAATATTTGGACTGAAGAGAGATGAAGTGACAGGAGGTTGGAGAAAACTGCATAATGAGGAGCTTCATAACTTGTACTCTTCTCCAAGTATAATTAGAATGATCAAGTCAAGGCGAATGAGATGGACAGGGCATGTAGCATGAAAGGGGGAGAGGAGGAATGCATGTAGGATATTGTTGGGAAAGCCAGATGGAAAGAGACCACAGGGAAGACCAAGACGTAGGTGAGTGGACAATATTAGAATGGATCTTAGAGAGATAAGATGGTATGGTATGTACTGGATAGATCTGGCTCAGGGTAGGGACCAGTGGAGGGCTCTTGTGAACATGGTAATGAACTTCCGGGTTCCATAAAATGTTGGGAAGTTCTTGAGTAGCTGCAGAATTGGCGGCTCCTCCAGAAGGGCTCAGCTCCATGAGTAAGTAAATGGGTAAGTATTTTAGAAAATCAGATTTCCTGCCATCCAAATAACTGAGACGAACATCGATGAAAGGTAAATTATAATAAATGCATAATTCATTTTAAAAGAATTTCCGAATTGTAACTTGCTTATTATAATAATTTTAATTAAATTGAAATATATTTGGGGCCCAGGAGTATGCCGTAAACTGGTTGGTTGAGGCACTGTGTTACAATCCGGAAGATGGCGGCTTCGGTTCCCAATGATATCATTGGATTTTTTTATTGTCCTAATCTTTCCAGCCTCACTATGACCCTGTGGTCGACTCAACCTCTAAGAGACATGAGTGTTATGAATCTTTCAGGGAGTAGAGAGCGGCCGGCGCGGGAGACTGACGATATTACGGCCATATGTGAGCCTATTGTCTTATAAAATGTGGGAGCCTCGACGTCTCATAACCGTATGGGCTATCGCGGACTGTTACAGGAATAGTTTATCTTTTATGTAGGGATCCCTTTATGCCAGGGGCGAAGGGCTGAATGGTCCTATTGATGTAGCTGTTTCTTATTACATGTAGGAAGGCTGTCACATAATGTCGAAAGCAGAACATTAATTTAGGCAGCTGTGAGGATAGACTTATCGGTAAGGCTCTAGAATCATATTCGGAAAATGTTCAGTTCGAATGTTGGCCGAGACATTGGCTATCCTGTTAAGGGTTTCGCAGTTTTCCTCAGTTTCTCAGGCAAATTTCAGGACAGCAGCTCGAGTAGTAACAACTGACTGTTTGCAGACTCTTTTCAGTTCATCTATCAATAACAATTCAGCGCTATATATTGTAGCCACTGATAAAACCTTTATGACTTTAGTCCGCAAGCGAACTATACCGACGGAGCGACCGCCGCTTGTCAATGAAGTTAGTGCCAACTTTAGCAGATAGAGGGTGTCGCGTGGTCAGCGCAACGAATACCCACGGCCATTAATTTCGGTTTGTAGCTACTGATAGTGATGTGAAATAATCGACAAAAAGAAAAGACTAAATAATTAATATGGAATAGATGAATGTAAACTCAAAACTGATTAATTTATTTATGATAGCCACTGTAATTTTACCAAATATTGTAGTTTTTGAAGAAAACAAATTAGGACTTTTTTCATGATATGTTTCTCACTTTTCGTCCGAATGAAGTGAAATATCGTGTCCGGCTTTAGAAAGGAATTGTCATGAATTAAAAGTAATTTATGTGAAAAAAGAAATATAAGTTACAGCGCCTTTCTTCATTACGAGGACTAGGAGAGCTCTGAAACAAATCTCTCTAACTTCTGAGTTTGAAAAGAAATATTGAAAAAGTAAAACTAAGTTTAGCAAAGTTGCAGAAAAGAGATTCAAGTGAGGTCATGCTTTTAAAGAAAGTGAAGAGATAAAGAAGGCAAATTAATAACTGACGTGACAGTAAATTAAAGCTTTTAAAGGAGAACATAAAAAGTCTTTGAGGAATTTGAATTTCTCATGTTGGTGAAAATGAACATTAGATTAGCTGGGGATTGTGACACCGTGTAGTTTTGCCACATTCCAAGGATACCTTAGAAAGATTCTTGTGCAGATCTTCGAAAATATGAGGAGTAATATCTCTGGAACTTGATGCCATATAGTCTGATAGAAAAGTCTTCGAGGTTTCAACAGTAGTTCTTTAGTTTCTTTGTATCTATGACAGAAACTTTGTAATAAATTATGTTCTAGAACGGAAAGATAATTTTAAATAATTTTAATTTCTGGACGAGTTTAAAAGTAGAAAAATTCTTGCAACTTCGCGACAGCTGCACGTATTATATGATAGTAATGAGCGACATCAATATGAATCCACATTAGGTCAGCTCAGTAACCTGAGACGTATTTACTGAGACTGCCTGAAGATGGTCCCATATGTGGACCGAAACATGTAGCAACTATTAAATAAAACCAACGTGAGAAGTTCATTTATTCATTCGTATCTATTGTCGTGCTGGGGCCGCGCCTTAGCTCAAGCGGTTAGTCGCTGGCTTCCCACCGCGGCGGCCCGGGTTCGATCCCGGGTCAGGTCAAGTGTGATTTGTGGTGGACAAAGTGGCGCTGGGGCAGGTTTTCTCCGAGTACTTCGGTTTCCCCTGCCAATCTACATTCCACCAAATGTTCCACAATCACCCTCACCTATTATCTGGGGCTGGTACAATAGGCCAGAAGAGGCCGCAGTACAAGGGACTCAGTCCCGCCCCACTAGCAATAAACAAAATTATTGTCGTGCTGAGGGCCAAACACCATCAATGTATGCAAACATATCCATTTAAACAAGTTGCCACACAAAATGGCGCACCTCAAACTCTCATGGAAAATCGGTTGTAGGTGTAAATTCGGTTTGTTTCCTAGGATTTGACCTTTAGGGATGAATTCGGTGACGACAGGGATACGTGTGGAGTGTAAGACAAGCCCTAGGGATAGGTTATATTCACCCTAGCAAGCCTGATAGAGAGTAATTGGACTAAGATTTGATGTTGCGAGTCGAAACGGACTTCTGTGGGAGCTCTGGGAATCCACGCGTAATGAACCGCCCTGCCTCTCTAATTTCTCGCAGTCGTACCGTTACGTGTGACGGCTTCGAGCAAGAGGGAAATAAAGCGTAATATAGAAGGACAGAACGCGCGCCATCTTGTCGTATATCTTGAAAGCTGCACCATTACATGACATGTACCTGCATAGCTAAATACCTTATCTTGCTTTCATTTTATGAGACATGCGGTAGAGTAGTTGGTTGAGGCACTATGCTACAAGCCATAAGGACGCAGGTTCAATTCCCGATGAGGTCGTTGGATTTTTGCAGTGACATATTCCTTGCAGCCGCACTATGGCACTGGGGTCGACTCAGTCTCTAACACAAATGAGCACCAGGAATCTTCCTGGGGGCTAAAGACCGGCTGATACACTGCCATCTGTGAGCCGATTGTCTAGAAAATGTGGGAGCTTCGACGTCTCACAATCCTATAGGCCTCCACGGCCTGTTACAGGGATAACTTTATCTTTAACTTTTTTATGTAAAACTGTCCCTGTGCTTAATTAACGATACACCATGCACTGAATACGTATGGGGAATGGAGGTAAAGCTCCACCATTGTTGACCGCGACATTAGACGGCAGTGAGCGATCAGCTTCACGCTATTCCGATTTACCCGTGGAAAAGAGCCTCTGCTGCTCATTGTATAGGAAACTGGGTGGGCCTCTGAACTTTATGGAGAAGACAGTCCAGTCTCTAGCCTGTCGATATACCAACTGAGCTATCCCGGCTCCTCTCGCGTTAATTTACTTACCGCAAGTGAAAAAATAATTTTTGAAAAAAATATTATTTTATATTGCGCACATAGGAATTTGACTCAGGTGTTAATGCTTCTATCTTATATGTAAGAGACGCCATATTGGAATTTGGGTTGTGGCACTCAGTACTTCTGTCGGGGATCTTCGTGATTTTATTCACTAATTTCACACAAATGCCGTGACAGTACCTCAAAAGCCAGAACCCTCCTGCTGAAATGCCTTTCCATTTCTTTATTCCTACCAT